ATTGTGTGGCAGTCATGGTATGCCCAGTAATAGTAGTGTATTTAATCCAACCATACCTCCAAATACTGCATGAAAGGGCGTAGAAATCCAAGTTTTGTCTCTTCAAGGATCCTTCATGCGAAAAACTTCGGCAAGATTCCATGCTTCACTTGGAACTGTAGGTAAGACGCTGAAAAGGGTACATGAAACTTACACTATAGTCTAGCGCTAAACATTGATATTAAAATGAATTTTCTTATGCCTACTTCTAATATTTAAGAGAACTGAAAAACATCAAAACCTCACATATTAACGACACATTTGTATTTTTCTAAGGCTTTTCTCTTATATTTACCTCTCCATAATAAAACGAACTTCTAATTAATACAACATGAAAACAATTAACAAATTAATATAAATACTTTTAGTTTCAGCTATTCATTAAACTAGTCAAAACAGGAAAAGATTTAGCTTAATCGAAACTTAAATTCATAAAATTTTACCATTCTTTTAAGAACGGCTACAAAGGTTAATTTTTAGGGCAGAACATAATTATTTTGTCAATTCACAAACGCAATATTTGTAATCTATATATATATATATATATATATATACTGTAAATAGAACAACTTATAAAAAGTTATGTTAACACTGTTACATAGAACGTTCCATTACAAGCCGTAACACTTTAAAGTTTGAAACATATTTCTTCATGGATGAACGCTGATTAATAAATATTTTATTTATTTTATTTCAGTAATGTAAAGATTATTAGGTAATTGTAGCATAATGACGTTGTGAAAGAGTTTATGTAATAAAGTATACATGTGATATTACTCTAGTACGACGTCCATAGGTTATTACTTTACAATTGTTTATTAGTTAATCAATAAACAGTTGATGAGTTCTTTCACCATTCTAACGAAAATTTTTTTATACTTTTGAGAAAAATTAAGTAAGTGAACAAACATTGGAAGTAGAAAAATAACTTAACTTAAATTGAAAATTAAATCAATTCAGTGATTTTCATTTCTGATGCTAAACCTAAGTAGGGCTCTGATTAAAAGCCTCGATAATAGTAGCATACAAATTAGCAGAAAATTGTCTTAGTGGACGTGTAGCTATTCGAAAACTGCTGAGAAGAACAAAAATCACACCAAAAAGTCGTAATAGGTATCGAGCCAATAATAGTGGATTAAGCAAAGCTGGAGGTCTGTGCCCTTTACAGATGAATTGAAGGTCAAAACGTTCGAAAACAAGCAGTGTCAATTTGTTCAAAGGCGGAGAAGAGAACAGTATCATAGTCAATGCATAACATGTACAGTGAAGTATGGTGGGAAATTAGTACAAGTTTGCGTATCCATCTCGGGCAACAGTGTTGGTGATTTACACAAAAATGATGGCACCCTGACTGCTGACAAACACTTTCTGATTCTAACTAATCTTGCCATTCCCTTTGAAACAGGCCTCATCGGGTGGGGATTAATCTTCCTTAAAGGTAATGTTCTCAAGCGAATATCAAACGATACTTTGAATGATAAAGAGGCCGAAGAACACTCCCAGTCATGTCTTGGTCACAAAGTCTTTATATGAATAAACTTAAGAATGTGTGAGCTAATGTAAAAACTGAAAAGATCGAAAGACGACCAAACAGGTTAACTGTATTGTGCAGAGTAATACAGGATACTTGGAACAAAATTGCACAAATGTACATTATTAAACTGCATAGCAGCGTGAAAACAAGGTTAAATGCTTTCGTAAGGCAAAAAGTTCAGATACTAAAGTATTATACAACTTATTCGATCTTAATATGTATTTTATGTGATAATGTTTTGAGCCATTAACAAATTCCCCAATTAGTTACCATTGCTCGTTATTTATGACTCCTGTATTTCTGTATTTCCATAGTTATTTCCATTACTGTGGGTATTAAACTATCAAAATCAAAGTAAAACCTAAAAAGGTTATTACATGATATATTCCTATTTCTAATTCATCCTCTTGATTTTCCTAAAAGTATTAAGAAAAGATAAGGTTGATTCATTTTTTAATTCAACAGCAAATGTTGTTTTCAAGCTTGGTATTAAGTAATTCACAAACTATGTTAAATGTTCAAATTTTCTACATATTATAAATTTTTCCTCAGCATACCTCTATCAACAACGGTTTGAAATTAGTTAGACATTATTTCTTTTTAAACCAATTTTTTTCATGCTGGCACAGAAAATAGTCGCCACGGTAAGTGCCAAACGCGAACCCATACTCACATCATCCACTAAAGAAAGAAGTGTGACTCTTTAATATAGACGTTCTTGAAAGTTACACATGTCACATTGCTTCAGGTCATGAAACAATAACTGAAATGGTAATAAGTACATAATAAAAGCAGTATTTTTAGGTGGTAAGTCAAATCCTAGTTTTCTCGTTTAGCTCTTTTCTTTCAGTAGCGCTTCAGCTATGATTTAAAATAATTAATGTTTGTTTGTAATTAAGCACAAAGCTACACAATCTGTGCTCTGCCCACCACGGGTATCGAAACCCGGTTTCTAGCATTGTAAGTCCGCAGACATATCGCTGTGCCACTGGGGGGCATTTCTTCAGTATTTCTCAAAATTATATTTCCCAGTTCGGCTCTTTTTGGCCATTCAAGCTTCCTTTGCTGCGTCAATCTACTTTTTGTTAAGGTATTATTTATTATAAGTTAGTTGCACAAGTGAAGAAAATCAACATTGTTCTGCATATATTTTGTACAAGGTGTAGTGTTTTACACCTGTTCAAAAAGTTTAGGCTTAACTTGCATTTATTCAGTTTTAAGTACGTTTTTCTTTACTTTTGTAACCAAAACACAAATACGTTGCTAATGTTATCAAAGAAATAAATTCAAGTTTTGTTTTTTTCTAAATTCAGAAGAAACTGAACTCACAGCAATCCCATTCTAACATTTTGTTTTCAAGTCTCTCATTACAATTCCAAATATTTTTTTTCTTTTGGCCTGCATAAATGTAGTCTTAGGAATTGATGTCCACGGGCAGTGGAGAACCTGTGAAATTGGATACTTTGTTGGGATCTATGTTGTTAGACGTACCCAACTGTCTTTTGGAGAAGATTGTTACATCGGACTAAGCACCATCGACGACAGAAATAGTTCCACGGGCAGCACAGGACTTGGAGTTTTGTTCTCTTGAAGTTCGGTTAATCCACAATATTTCGTTAGATGAACCACGTTTCAAGTTATTATGTGAACATAACTATGGTATATAATGTCTACTCTATAAGATGGAAGACATGAAAGCTAGTTCCTACAAGACTTATCACTGGTCTTAATTCAACACATGAATAATAGACATCAAGTAAAACATTTACTATATAAGATGGAAGACATGAAAACTAGTTCCTACAAGACTTATCACTGGATTTAATTCAACACATGAACAATAGACATCAAGTAAAACATTTACTATATAAGATGGAAGACATGAAAAGCTAGTTCCTACAAGACTTATCACTGGTTTTAATTCAACATATGAACAATACACATCAAGTAAACGCTTACTTTATAAGATGGAAGACATGAAAGCTAGTTACTACAAGATTCATCACTTCTTTTAGTTCAACGCATGAACAATAGATATCAAGTAAAACGCTTACTCTATAAGATGGAAGACATGAAAGCTAGTTACTACAAGATTCATCACTTCTTTTAGTTCAACGCATGAACAATAGACATCAAGTAAAACGTTTACTCTATAATATAGAATATATATTGTAGGTTACCATATGATACGTGGACCCCACAGAACGATGCAGATTAACACAAGACAGGTGGTTACGATAAGCTGCGTTGTGTTAGCCTAATGCAGTGATTTTTCAGGCCCGGCGTGGCCAGGTGGTTAGGGAGCTCGACTCGCAATCTGAGGGCTTGAATTCCCGTCCCAACGAGCATACTTGCCCTTTCAGCCATGGAGGCGTTATAATGCGACGGCCAATCATTCTATTCGTTAGTAAAAGAGCAGCCCAAGAGTTGGCGGTGGGAGGTGGTAACTAGTTGCCTTCCCTCTAGTCTTACACTGCTAAATTAGGGACGGCTAATGCATATAGCTCTCGTGTTACTTTGTGCTAATTCAAAACAAACAAAGCAGTGATTTTTCAGTCGGCGGTGCATGCATTAATGGTGGTACACGAGGATGTTGTCGTTGGTGTGCAGAATGATTATAAAAAATAAGGATGGCTGAAAATATTGTTAGTATTCAATCTTTCATTCTTTGCTTTATAAAACAATAACCAAATACTCCCAAATATTCGCACAGTGATACATGGAAAGTTTAGGTTTTATCAAATAGCAAGCAAGCTGGAAAGTTTGAAAGCCACTGATATAGTATATGTAAGTTTGAAAGCCACTGTGTAAGTTAGCCACGTACTAGCATGTTTCTGATTTACATAAGATTTGAGACAACATTTTAACAAGATTTTGAATATCAAATTTCTCATTGTGATATACAGATTTTTGAATATTCACACTATTAATTGGAGGGAAAATTTCGTGTTATTCTGAAGTTGTAGAAAGTAGTCAAATTAATGAGAGTGTGCAATTTGCAGTGTTCATAATGTAAACTCTTCAAATCAGCTCGGCAGGTCCATAGATAACAAACACGAACATTTTCGTTTTCTTTAACAAGCTGGGAATTCAGACATTTCACAAACGATACAGCTTGGGACATATAGAATTCTACGTTAGCTGATATATGTCACGAAACTCCTCTGATTGGTTAAACCTTGTGATAGATGTCTGTTATTGGTTAGAAGGCCCTATACAATGTCTAAGCACTAAAGTCAGAAGTGCGTAAAATCCTGTTAATCACGCTCAGTTGGATAAGTTCAGTCTTGACAGTGCCATTATTTTTGAAAATACAATCCCGACCAAATGATTTAAATTTAGCTGTAGTCCGCGATTAAATTGGCCGAATAGTATCAGATGCCTGACTGAGCGAAAGGCAGCACAGTACACAGGAGAGTTCCCAGTCATGACTGTTGACGTCTCAACCCTCACCCATCTTATTATGTCTGACGGTGACAAGGGTAACAAAGGTAGCGGTACGTACTCTCACGTCCAACAACTTTCTTCGGAAAGCCCCGCGCAGTCATCGTTTCTCATACGTGATATTTTAAGTGAATCGAGTACTGAAAGGTGTGTATTAAACCATAGAGAACTTAATGACGATGTTGTACCTTCATTAACAGCTGTCAAATACTCTGCGCGAAGTTTACCGCAAGATACTGGATTAAACAGTCAAAATAAAGTTAAGTTCTCACTCCGTACCTTGGAGGGCAACAAAGGAAACTTTCTAACTGGAGAACACGAAAAAGCGTTTCATCAGAGAGGTTAGTAAATATAACATTTTTAGTTACATTAAAGATGGCCATAGGAGCTTAACTTTTAATAAGGCTATTTCTTTGTGAAACAGAACACATGCACTTAATCTCGATTAAATATCAAATTTTAAGCACAATATACACTTTGATAATAAGAAAAAAAACGCTAATGGCTAATGAGGTGTTTTATAGAAGGATGCTTTGTTGGTTAATACTGGCTAAACATTCTCTGCTAACAGATCCGGTAACAGAATTAGTTTCTATTTCTTATTTTTGTTCGAACAATTCTAAGAAATTGAGACCATTTAAGATTACGATTACTGGTGACACCTGCTGGCAGAAACGTTGAAGTTCTTTTCTAATGACAGTTTCAAGTAAAAACTAAAATAGTTGTTATTGGCTAGCTTTCTCCTCTTGTGCTCAAGCCTTAATCGAGTTTTGTCTTAAAGTATTTGGCCTAATACAAACCAATCAACACACAATATTAGCTTTTATATAACTCAAACGTTATTTTCAGGAATCAATAACCAAATTTTGACCACTACAACATTAGTTTATTATTAAGCTAATAGATACTTATGACATAATACAGCTATTATTATCTATATACGGCGACAGCTACTTATGGTAACATTGCAGAGATAAAACAAGATTAATTAGAATTATGATTAATAATTATATTATGTTACCAAGAGATCCTGACGATAGTATGACACTAATCTAATTTTTAATAGATATATTTATTGACAATAATTGTTACTAACATATCTAATTGTATTTGTTATACTTGCTGATAGTAGTAACATATAGCTTAGCAGATGTGACGTGTGATATTGATGGTAAAGTAAGTTAATTAAACAGATTCGAACTAAAAAAAGTAACTCATAAATTAAGTAAGCTTATTAGTTGTAGCAAATTGGCTAAAACTACATATTGCAATAACTTAGTACTATTAAAACCTATGGTTATTACAATGCGTCGAATCTCATTTGGGTACCACCCCATTTGGTGGAGTGGGGGGACATTACTTATCCTTAAATTCTGACCAAATTCTGATATCTTCATAACCCAGAATTAAAAATTAACCCAGTAATTAGTATAGTTAACTCAAAATAACATTATTTTAGCTTGATGTGTGTAAATTCATAAAACGAAAAATTAAGATCAAGAAAGTTACACTTACATGTCGTTTCTCAGAGGATCTCACAGTAATCTATTATTAGACTTAACGATGTTTAGATAAGTACATACTTTAATTTAAAATGTATTATTTACAAGATGCAGATATTAATTGTATCTTGTGAGCTCGTGGGGATCATTGTCTGTACATGACTAATTTTTCTCGTTACCCTATTGTCTGTGATCACGTACAGGTTAATATTTAAGCTAGCGTGTGTTACTATGTCTCTGGTATGTTATACAAATCATGTAAACTGCAAGTTCTTTTTCACATTTCTTTTAATTTGACAATTTCAAGTTTTATATCAGTGGTGTGTAAAATATCTTTTTTCCTACAAGTCACTGCCAAAGAGGCCTTTCGTATGATACTAGAATTCGAGAGTTGAGCTGAACGTTAGAGACTTGAATTATGGTATTTTAAACCGTCACTTTATTTCGTTTTTAGTAAGAAAAGATATGAAATGGTAAGTTTGCCGTGAGAAACAACATTATCGTAGGACACCTTCTGGAAGAATCATGAAGTATAAGTTGATGAATTGATCAACAGAAGGAATGACTTTCTCAGGTGGAGGATGAATATTATCATATAGTAAAACATGTAATTGGCGATGAATTTAGTACGTAGAGGATGTACGTGTAGAAGAATGGGCGTGAACGAATACAAGCATGAAGATCCGTGGTGGGACTAGGTAACTTAATATGAAATGCTAACCGAAGTGCATGGCACTCCAAAACCAGAAGTTGATCCTAGTAGTATGAGAGAGCAGAAGTCCAAGCTGTATATCCCATGAGTTGTTTCTTGTAATTTATTTCCAGCTGCACCCTATCTTCGGCCAAGAGATGTGACGAAACAGACGATTTTCAGTATATAATGGGCGTGTATCCGTTCATAAAGACTGGTGTTATATATATTGGACGTGTATCAGTTCATAAAGACTGGTGTTATATATTGGACGTGTATCGGTTCATAAAGACTGGTGTTATATAATGGAGGTGTATCAGCTCATAAGGACTGGTGTTATATAATGGAAGTGTATCAGTTCATAAAGACTGGTGTTATATAATGGACGTGTATCAGCTCATAAGGACTGGTATTTAGATGAAGTTATGATTTGTGAAGGAAGTTGATTATGTTTCAAAGGTAGAACAAATTGTAGAAAAGCAGAAAAACCATTCGGTTATCTGGATAAATATAACTGGGTACATTTTGCATTGGGATATTTACATAATTAGGATCATGGACTGGAAGTAACATAAGATACAAATTTAATAGATGATCAGCTTGAGGCAAGAGTTTCCTCGGGTGATAAACGTTATGGCTGAGCACACCATAAAACATCGTTTAACATATTTGGTGGGAAGTTTGCGAAGATGTAAACGTATATGAGAAAAAAATGATTCTATCGTACAGTAAATCTATGGAGTTTTTGAACTCAAGTTTCACTGAAGACACTGGCTTAAGACTGGTAAGATGCTAAGAACCAACACTTGTTTGAGGCTTATTAGGTTTTGGGAAGTGTAAAATAATAGAATTATTCCAGGAATCGGATTAAAATCCAGAAAAGAAGAGAGCTATGAAATGTTGCAAACAAGAGAAGGAGCAGTGTTGCGCCTACTCCTCAGAGTATGGTGGATATCCTGTGCTGTTAGGAGTGCATTCTTATAACTATCATCCAGAACATGTGCTGTACTGTGAGTTCTGGAAGTGAATTATCAGTCAATTCAAGAATATATCTTGTATCTTCTAGTTCGGGAGATGCTGTTCTGCGGCTGTAAAGTAATTTTCATAGAACAAGGCAAAAATATTAGACTTTTCAAAAGGATGAATGTTTTCAAACGCTATTTATATGTGTAATATAAAGTTACGCTTTAACTACCTAAAGTGGCAAAGAAGTAAAAACCTGACACGTGTGATGGAAATAACGTAAATTACAGATTGTTTTGTATTTTCATTTTCCTCTTAATTTATCCATTTTGGATTCTAAGTCAGAGGTGTGTAAAATTGGCCTTTCGTTTAATACCAGAACTCGTGAATACCACACTGTGTCCGTAGATATTTTTATACACTCTTTTTCTCGGAAGAACACTAAGGGAAAGAATAAATTGTAGTGTTTAAAAATACATGAAATCTGAGCTAATTGTGTAGTCGCTGTATGTGTTAGTATAAAATAACATAGTGCATAACTCAAGGAATGAACCAGCTACGAAATTATTGGATCATTATATATATGTATTATGTACAATTAGTATACATATAATTATTCCGTGCGATTAAAAACAATTATTTAAATGTATATTATGTATAACAATAACAATTTCTATTATGCATAACAATCATTATATGTATATTGTATACTAACAGCATATTTCTGATTCAATTAAGATATGAAAAAATATTAGCAATTTGACGACCATTATGTATACTATATACAACTAATACAACTGTCTGAAAACCAGACGATGAAAACTATATTACCTATATACAACAGTACAGTGATCTGTGTTACGTATTATAATTTCAAATGGGTTGAAACTGAGTCAAATTGTAATTTAAGTTTAGTAGTTAAGTTATACTTTGCTTTTAGCAATTAAGTAAAAGCCGATATATAGTCAGTTTATTATATTTGCCAACAATATTGATACAAACAATTTTATTTTATTTTTTAATACAAATATGTTTTAATATATAACCAACAATACAATTTACAATAACAGTTATTACAAATAGTTATTGCACACAATGATTTATATACAAAAGTTTTACAAACTTACAAGCAATATAAAGTATTCTTTCTAGTCTGGAACTTCCTTGATATCTTATCGAAGGTTCACTATGAGCGAGCTAATTACGAGTTGATGTAGGTACAATTCGCTTAACAGGGAGCTAGCTAGCTTTGTCCTTCGTTATTCACCAGCCACACACGCCGAGTTTTCCACTGTTGAAGTTAGGTAATGTTTTCGTAAAAGTACTAATGTCTGATGAGAATCACTGAAGTTAAATGATTTGTAATGTTCGAACTTTGTAAATGCTCCTGATCAAATATCTGAAGTTTTTCGATTGATAAGCATTATAACAATCACAGTTATAGCTTCCGAAGTTTATAGCACACTGACTATAGCAAACTAATAATATATATTCTTTTTTTTTTGGCGCGGCGCGTTGGTTATATTTATAGGCGTGTGGAGAGTTTCCAGAAAATTCAGATTACGTAACAATACAAAGCTACATTGAGCGTTT